TATTAAAGCTCGAAAACCATACTAAATGCAGCTAGTCGACTATAAAACTAACTGCAACTGCAACTGCAACACCCCACCGACTGCCGCAGCCAGAGCCGACGAGAAAAACAAGTGGCCATAAAATATAATAAAAGGAAGTGCTTAAAACTAGCAACAACAACTTTAACTGAGAAGTCGCCGTTTGCCTCCATTGCTGGGCATGAAAATGGGCACTGAGCACGGGGAAGCTTGGGACCAGAGAGCTGGGAACTGGGAACTGGGAGCTGGGCACTGAGAGCTCGAAGTTGGCAGCTGAGAGCTGCGACGTTGCCGTGGCAGGAATCCTTTTACATAGTTGAGTGTCTAAATTTATTACCCGCGATCTAACACGATTTCTCGCACTTGTACCTACAATAATCATTATATGCAAACACACACACACACACACACACACAGGCGTGGAAATTAACAAGCAGCAAAGCTTTTTGCATATTTGGCATGCAACAAAAAATGGAAAACGAAAAACAAGTGCAGGCCCAGCTTGTGAAACTGGTCTGATCCGTGTCGCAGATGCATCCATACCGTAGTTAACTATACGTATATATTATATACATATATATCTACCATATGTGCAGATAGTTTATGTATTATATAATTTGTTGGAAGGTGCACTGAGTGTTGCCACCAGGCCTAGCTGCTGTTGCATTAATGAGCAGCATGCGGCGACGAGACTATGAAGTAGCATGCCACAAACTAAGTTTAGAGCTTAAGACATATATATCATGTGCTATATACAAAGCTCCCAGATATATATATATATAAATGGTAATATATATATTTACAGCTTCTGCTCTAAGTTCCTAATGCAATCATAAGGAATAAGCCCATCTCAATAGCTGAAATGCATTTTAAGTTATCTGCAGAGTATCTGGTAGTCGAGCCAAGTGTTGTTTGCTGCTAACATTGTTTTTTTTTTATAAGTTTTTGTTTCGCTTAATTTGCTGGCAGGCCAAAAAACCAAGTCAAACACCGGCAACAAAAACAGGGGCGTCTTGTCTATAAATATTTTTGTTGCTGCTGCGGCGGCTGCTGCCGCTTGCTGTTGCAGCAGGAGTAAAAAAAAAATATATATATATAGTATAAAGAAATGCAGGCATGAGATTACAATCGCTTGTAATAAATACCTTAAGTATCACATATATCAGTAACCCAAGGACGTGCATCGTAAGTCAAGCTGAACATTATTATTAAGCGAAGCCACCAAGCGCAGCCGACGTCGACGACGACGACGAGGACGCGGCAGGTGGATGAATGGGGGAGGGGGGGCGGGGGGTGGATACAGATGGAAGGGGTAACTGCAGCCAGGCAACTTGACTTACGTGCAACAATTTAACAACTTAATTATTGCTAAACTACGTCAGCAACAACAACATATAGACATAAATAAACAACGGTGCGTATGAGTAATATTTTGAGGCAAAGTCGTGGCCTGGCCTAAGCAGAAATAATAATAATAAGCAAGGAGCCTGCCAAAAAAGATTGCAATGCGCGATATACACAAAGATGATCATCAACTAAAACAACAACAACAACAACAACTGCAGGCTACTTGAGCCAATTGGCCCACCGTTCGATGGCCTGGAAAGGGGCAGGGGTCGGGCAATGGAACGTTCGCTTGTCATTGAGTAATCTATCGACAGCTTGGCCATTTAGCCGAGAAAGAGAGAGAGAGAGAGAGAGGGAGAGAGGCACACACACACACGATGCGCTGTGTGTGAAAATTAGCATAAAAACGCAATTTTTGAATATTAATGTGCAGTTGGCGGATCGCGGCAACTGTTGCAGCGGCGACATCATCTTAGCCTGGCTGGGAGGCGCATTGCGTGCCAGCCAAGCAGCAATTCCAAACCAAAGAAGCAGCCCCAGCAGCAACAGCAGCAACAACAACAACTCGAAGCACTCCATTTCTGCCACTTGACTTACTCGTTTCAGTTGCAACAGCAACAGCAACGGCAACGGCAACTGCAACAGCGAGTGGCAATCAGATCCTCTGGCATTGATAAGAACGCTTCTTGGCTGTGTGCTTGGCGCTATCGCATAAGTTGCATTGGCTTTTGCATCTTTCACTTTTCAGTTTGGCACGCATTGCCAATGGGCGAAATACAGATTAAGGATTATTATTGGACTCTGCTGCTGCTTCTGCTGCTGCTTCTGCTGCTGCTGCTGCACAGCATGAGAAATGTTTGTGTCATGTTTTGTGGCTGTAATCTAGAAAACGCACAAGTTCTCTTGCGTAACCTGGGTTGTTGTATCCCCTATCGTTAACAGGTGGAATGCATCTTAAGGAGTAGCAAAAAAAAAAAATCAACTTAAAATGTTTATACTAATCGTTTAATTCCTTGGAAATTCGATAAACCAAACTTATCAACCTAATTTAAAAGCATCTAGAAGCTGCACTTCAAGAAAGAAATCCTGCCGAAAAAACGCTTTTTGCATGGCAATCGGATCAGATTTGGCAGAGCTCTGAATGTGAAAAATTGGCACCTTTATGAATAGGTATAAATTTTGTTGGAATTTCGTACAACCTTTTTTCAAGTTGAGATTCAAAATTTAGCTAAGGGACATAAAACAAGGCCGGATGTAAATCGGACAGAGTTATGAAGGTTAAATTTAATTTTACTTTAGAGTATTTTTGACACACAGTTTGTCATTGTTGTAAAATATCTCATGTAAGTATTAAATATAATATCAAATTTAACAGGCAACAAATCGATTCATTTTCTACAAAGTTCTATAATTGGAAGATACAGGAATATAAGCAGTGCAGTAAGCAGTATACTGCTTAGCAACAACAGTAGCGTATTCAACAAAAAGCAACAAATTAGCCCAACACTATGCTAACAATTTTGACAAAATAGACAAATTGAAGTTATATTACAATAATTATCTTATGATACCAATGCAATCTTATTGTGTCTTGCCAAACTAAAGAACAATTAATACTCGACATAAAAGTTAAAGTAAGCTGCCGCGCCGCTATGCGGACAGTAGCGACACTAGAAACTAACAAGTTGTAGCAGCAAGAAGTTCGGTGATTTTCCGCTAGGTAGCGCTAATCAGTAAGTCACTTCAGCAACCAACGCAATGTTCATAATTGAAAAAGAAAATTTTAATTTTTATTAAGTAAACAAATCGTTGCACATGCCATTAAATGTTTACAAATAAAACATATTCAGTAAGTAAACTAACGCAAATGCACCTTGGACTTAACACATTTCACATATCAATTCAGATATTGCGCTTCTAGAAGATTTCACAGCAAGAACAACACGAAATCAGAACAATGCAATGAGCCAATATTTATTTGAAATACCCTACCGAACGGAAACAAAGCCTGGGTTCAATAACCCAGGCAAAAACACGTTTTGAAGAGTGCACGCAACAACTACAACGAGTACTCAAAGCTGTTGGCCAGATTTCACAACGTAGGGCATTGAGCGCGTCATAGCCTCGGCAGGGGTCGGAGAGTGTGAGGCAGATGTGGGTCAAGCACTTTCACAAAATGCGCGCCAATTGCATAGACGGCGGATGTGTCATCCGAGATTCCCCCGCAGCGCCCGCTAACCCCCAACATTTGCGGACTGTGACCTAGCCGAATGAGTTTTGCTGCATTTGAAATGCGACTGAGGGGCAGAGAGAGAGAGGGAGCAGGAGAGTGAGGTTAACGCATTGCTCTGAATGAATCAGTTTCGAATGAACAAGAAAAAACACCACGAAGCGTGTGTTGTCAGTCACGAACGCCGACACCGGTTTGCGTCGCGGTGCTCCCAATGCCTCTCACACTCTCAGGTGAGCATAAGTCATGTGACGTCACAGCAGCCAGAGCATTAGCTAGTTTATGTTAATTCAATTAATAAAATCGCTACACTGAGAAAATTGCAAATAAACATGAGGTATACACAATATGAGAATAGATCTGTCGATGGAAAATAATAATATATATATAAAAATCAAGAAATCTGCCTCAATAAAATATATATAGTAATTGTATATCAAATAGTACTCAGAATAAATAAAATAAGCTTGTTTCAATATTGGCAATATGTGAGTTTAAATTGAAAAAACTTGGAATATCAGGTTAATTGGCCGAATCTGAAGATGACACATTGTGTCGAATCGCTAACTGAACAACACAATTTTATCCTTTTTATGAAAATGAGAATTATCTTAAAAATATTCTATTTATTTCGAACCCATACGAATTTATATAAACTTTCCGTTTTTGCATCATCTTGAAAGACAAAGGGATGCCATTTCGCGAAACATCTGCTTGCAGCCTGCTGCACGGCTGGCAGTTGGCCAACTTTAATTAAGGGGAGAGAGAGAGAGTATTTCTCTTTCTTTATGTTTCTGCTTAGCTGGATACACACACGTGATCAATGGCACGTGTGCAACGCAGGGTCCCAAACATTATACATTGTAGATCCACACACACAGACACACACTCGAATGCAGCTGCTGTCACGCGCGCATGTCGCATCCGTCGACAGAGGCCAATGCATGGAAATCAAAGTATCTTCCAGATACATTTTCGTAGCAGGAATTGTAAATGGACAATTTGAAAAGCTGCACACGTGGCAAACTCCCCCGCCGCTCCAGGAAAATCCAAGTCAAATAAACACGAGGCATTGCTAAAAATAAATGAAACGCCCGAAGACAGCAAGAACAACAACAAAATCGACGCAAAGGTCACCTTGACTAAGGCCCAGTTAGTTGGGAATGAAGTCAAAAACTCTGGAGAGTGTGCACGGGCAGCAAGAGAGAGAGGTAGAAAGGGAGGGAGGGAGAGAAAGAGCGCAAGCAGACCGCTTACTGAGCCGGCTCGCGCTCGCTCGCAGTTTCACAATGCCGTTTAGGCCATTTCGTCACTCATCCTGACGCCAGCTGCCGTTGCCGCCAGAGCAGCAGCAGCGACTGCGGCAGAGAGCGCAGCGGCGGCAGCTACAAAATCCAGCGGCGGCAGCAAAATTCCAACGAGTCTCGCGTGGAGCACACAGTTCGTAACGAGCGCGCAAAGTGAACGGAACGTCGACGACCTCAAATCAAATTGAAGCGCCAAAAATATCCAGTGAATCAATTTTCAGTGTATACCCACGAAAACACAACAACAACAATCAAAAGTAAGATAAAAATTAATGTCAAACAAAGACTAGTTAAATATTGTCGAGTAACTGGCTCTTGGCCCAGTCAAAGTGCATTCAACTTGCCAAGCTCGCCCTTGGCCTTGCACACCCACACACACACATACACACACACAATGAGCACTTCCTGGCTAGTCGGCTGGGTGAGAGAGGGGCGGGGTGTTCCCAATTAGATGGCAATTGCTTTCACTTTCGTTTTCATTTTGGCGCATGCGTCGTTAATTCAAAAACAGCTGCTTTCGTTTGGAAAACCAGCTACATTTGACTTTGAGAGAAGGTCATTTGCTTTCCGGCTTTTTTTGTGGGTCTTTGTGGCAAGTTTTGTGCTTGCAACAAGTGAGTTTGTCCAGCCAACCATGACTAGTGACAAAAGCAAAAAATATCGAACAAATTTGCAATGATCTCATATTGTGTTCAATTAGACTATAATAAATATATTATCTAACTTTACTCTGTGACGAATCACATAAAAATTGTAGATATATATGGTATACTGGGAATTACTTCAACTACACAACTTTTCTACCCTGTAGTCTTTTTGAATGAATAAAAGGGTATAAGTATTCATCCATAAAAAAAACCAAGGGCCCATGTCGAGCACTATAGCGTATAAATATTCCTGATCTACATCAACAGTCGCGCAAAAGTCAAGTGTTGAATGTTATACTTTGATCCCTGGCACAAGCAACCGTAGGGTATCTTCACGTTCAGCACACTCGACTAGCTCGTTTTCTTTGATTGCATTTGCCATAGCATTAACTTATTTATAGTTTAAATAACTCATGGGTTTCTACATAAAAGCCGCAATTTTAATTAGAAAACTCTCAAGTTCAGGGTAAGGTCAAAAGTTATTCTCAGCATGTCGCGGGGCTTTCTAATTAAAAACGTGCGTAGTTAGCAAAAAATAGTTAATAATGTTTATATAAATATTTTCATATAGATAAGCAGCTGCTCGGGCGCTGCAATTGCACTAATATGTGCCTAATCTTATCTGAAATCTATAGTAAATATTGACACAAGATCAACACGGGTTCGACATACTAGTAAAGCTTACCCATACGTCATTATATATGCCTGTCTATATATGGCCAAATTTCCTCGTTTGAAGTGGGCAACCTAATGCCCTGTTACTGTTGAATTAATTGAACAATCAGAATGAGTTATCAATCGATAAGGAATATTTATTGCAAATTGTTTTCTGGAACCATTCGTCTATTTTGTGCAATCGATGTTACAGTCTGTCCCGCTGTTAATCCGAAAAACTTGTCGCATTTTTCTTGAAGGTTTCTATGATAATAAAAATATTTTTACCCATTAGGCGTTAATTAGCTTGATTACTGGCCATGTAGACAACGGCGAATTGAAATTGTCACAAGTGCGAGCGGTCACAAGTGGGATCCATATAAAAATGACAACTGCGCGGAAAATGGAAATTAGTTTTTATTTCTTTTTTTTCGGGCAATGTTGCGTATGAGTTATTTCTTGAACTCGGCGAGCTGCGTGTTGAGCAGTCGACAAATTTATATAAATATGACCTTCGTGAAGGTTAACCAACGCCGACACATAAGTCTGTGCGTGCGTCTGTGTATGTGTGTGAGTGTCCCAGATTTTCTAGTTTTAGTTTTGGCGCTCGTGTTGCCAATTTGTCATTGATTAACGAGCACGTGACATGCTTCATAAATGTTCCCGCCCCCTCCCTCCCAATTCACCAGTGAGATCTTTCGCGGCTAACCATTCTTTATCCTCTTCTAGCCATGGCCGCCGTAAAGGATAGTCTGCTCGCTCAAGTGGCTGAGGTTCTGCCCAGCTCTGGACACAAGATCACCGTTGTGGGCATTGGCATGGTGGGCATGGCCAGCGCATTCAGCATTTTGGCCCAGGGCGTCTCCAAGGAGGTCTGCCTGATCGATGTCTGCGCCGATAAGCTGCAGGGTGAGCTCATGGATCTGCAGCATGGCTCCAACTTCCTGAAGAACCCACAGATCACAGCCAGCACCGATTATGCCGCATCGGCCAACTCGCGTCTGTGCATTGTCACCGCCGGCGTGCGCCAGAAGGAGGGTGAATCCCGTCTCTCCTTGGTGCAGCGCAACACCGACATTCTGAAGCACATCATACCCAAACTGGTGGAGGTAGGTCAACAGAAGATACAGAACCTTCGGAGCTCAAACTAATCCTTGACTCTTTACACTCACAGAACAGTCCAGATACCATTCTGCTGATGGTGTCCAATCCCGTGGATATTATGACTTATGTGGCCTGGAAGCTGTCCGGTCTGCCCAAGAATCGCGTCATTGGCAGTGGCACCAATTTGGATTCGTCCCGCTTCCGCTTCTTGATGTCGCAGCGCCTGGGCGTGGCACCCACCTCCTGCCACGGCTGGATCATTGGCGAGCACGGCGATAGCTCTGTGCCCGTGTGGTCCGGCGTTAACATTGCCGGCGTGCGTTTGCGTGAGCTGAACCCAACCATTGGCACCGGCGAGGATCCAGAGAAATGGAATGAGCTGCACAAACAGGTCGTCGATTCGGCCTACGAGGTCATCAAGCTAAAGGGCTACACCTCCTGGGCCATTGGCCTCAGCACCGCCTCCCTGGCCTCGGCCATCTTGCGCAACACCAGCAGCGTGGCAGCCGTCTCCACATCCGTTTTGGTGAGTCTTCAAATGAAGAAGAGTGGGACACTAAGAAACAGCTTTACTAACTGATATCAACTCTCTGCTTACAGGGTGAACATGGCATCGATAAGGATGTGTTCTTGTCGCTGCCCTGCGTACTGAATGCCAACGGTGTCACCTCCGTGGTGAAGCAGATTCTCACCGACACCGAAGTCGAGCAGCTGCAGAAATCGGCCAACATCATGGCTGAGGTTCAGGCCGGTCTACAGTTCTAATCGATCTGCATCGATCCAAGCAGAATCACATAATAAAAGTAGCTAAATTAAACATAGAACACAGCAGAGCTAATTTTAGTCGAATCGGAGAGCAGCTGCAGCCAGATGCAGTGCGGATCCGTATCAAGATTTGATGGAGCCAGTGAAGCATAGCAGAAAGTATTCTTGACTACCAAAATGTTTATTTTAAGTCGATTTCTCAATTTATTTATTATTTTAAAATGCTTTTTGTGTTCGTTACAAATAAATTTTAAAAGTTTAAGTTTTATTTTAAAAACAGAAACTCTAATTTATTTTTTTCCGTTCTGAGAAATGTCGTAAAAATACAAAACTCACGTAGTTTTAGGTATATTTACTGGAAACTCTCTCCGGGAGTCCAATAACAGCCATCGCTACCTCATTCGCGTAAATATTGAATTAAATCGCACGCTACGAACGAGCGCTAGTCAAATTTACAGCAAAGAAGATTTTAAAAAACAAAATATATATATAAATATATAGTAAAATTTACATTTAGCACCTAGTTGTCTTTTCGCACCCATCAAAATACATATATATATATCGATAACTATACTACATAATCAAGAGTAAAAAGAACTTCAATGAAAAGAATCAGAATAAGCAGCCCCAAAAACAAGCGTTTTCTTATTGCGGCACGATCCACGATAATCAATCGACTGGAGACTGTTTATAGATATAGAACCCTCCCCACTCCACCCCCCCCCCCTCACTGCGGTCTTATCATTGGTCGCTGCGAAACGTGCAGCGGCAAAAAAGCTTATCTAGCAGCAGTTGACCGATCTTGAGTGGGTCTGGGGCGGAATCGCAGACAAATGCCAGACAGAGAGCATCAGCTCGAATCCAATTGAGTTGTTTCGGACGTGCTGCAGTCAGCAGAATGAAAATTAAGTTAAAACCGAAATAGAAACCCAACCGCAACCTAAACTGAAATTCTGCGGCAGATAAGCAGCTTCCAGAGCAGCGATAAACATTTTCCACTCACTCTTAGCTTGGCTATAAAAGTGGCCAGCTGTGCGCTGAGCTTGGCAAATTGTTAAGCGATGCAACGGGTCACAGCCAGACAAAGCGCACAGTTCTGGACGGGATGGGGCTTGCAGCTGTGCCTAATCTTGTTCTGGCAAACGCGACAATTAGAAGCATCCGCAAGCATTGATCGCATACAAAAACACAATCTGGAGCTGCTAACGCAGCAACTGAATCGCGGCTGGCGCGCTTTTTGTAAGTTTTAAACAAACGAAAGCAGCGGCAAAAAGATCTCTAATAATACCCCCCCAATCCCAACTCAGGCGATGCGCCGGTCGATGAGGGTGTCATGGCGCTCTTTGAGGGCATCAATCCCAGCGATGCGCGTCTGCATGTCATGACCATCACCAATCAAAGTGTCCAGCTGCCCATCAAGTCCATGCCAGAGCTGCGCGACTTCGACATCAATCCGCAGCGCAAGACTCTAATCTATGTGAACGCCTTCCACACGGCCGACAGCTATTTCAGCGTTCAGGAGCACTTGACGCTGTTGCAGACAACGCGTCGGGATCTCAATGTCATTGTGGTGGATTTTGCAACACATGTGGCCCAGCTCTACTACACGGTGCGTCATCATCTCTCCGTGCATGGCTACTCCATATACAAGCTGTTGAGCGCCCTGACGGATGCGGGCATTGCGGCGCAGGATATTACCCTGGCAGGGCACTCGGTGGGCGCTAATATAGCCGCATTGGGCGCTGATTTATATGCCAAGAGCAGCAAGCAGCAGGTGGGTCAACTGATTGCCATCGATCCGGCCACCATGTGCCGCACCACAGACATTCTGGTCAGGCAGGGGGTGGCGGCGCGCGTTGTGGTGCTGCACGGCGAGGGCGACGTGTTTGGTGTTCGTGTGCCACTCGGTCATGTGGATATCTATCCAAATGGCATTGGCTACTTTCCGCGCAAGAAGCTGCAGCCGGGCTGCGACAGCAAGATCTGCAGTCATATGTATCCGTTTGTGCTCTTCATGGAGGCACTCATCGAGGGCGTCATGATACCTGCCACCAAATGCGAAAACTGGGGCAAGTTCAGGCAGGGCGATTGCAGTTTTGAGAACACACTTAACATTGGCCTCATCTATCCGAGCAATGCGAAAGGTCTGTATTTCTGTATGACCCAACCGAATCCACCTTTCACCTACATGGAGCACGGCCTGCGGTATCAGACTCGGCGGCCGGAGATATCAAATATGCTCAAAGCATGAGTTTTGTGGAGTAACTTAAGAATAATCTTGTTATTTACATGGGTAGTTTTCTTATAAGCAATTTCTGTTTAGCATTACAAGGTGTTTATAAATATAGTTTTTGAATCGAAATACCTTCATAATTTTCCAGGAAATGCACAAGACATTTCGATTACCACTAAAATAAAGTTAAAGTTAAAGGCGAATAAGTCAATAATTTGAATACGATATTAAAATGTTGCCTAAAAGCATGCTATACTTTTCTGCCCGGGCAATAACAGTGCTGCCCAACGGTATGTAGATCAGACAGAGATTCGACAATGAGACCAGCCTGGACTAATTCTTATTTACAACAGTGTGATGAAAAAATATTAAAGAATGGAGATAAATATATTGTTTAGATTTCTTATACACAAATATAGACTTACGAGTTTAATATTATAAACTTTAGCTAAATACTATCTCTTCGGCTACGTATTGGGACTTGTAATTTCATAAATTACTCTTCAAATCATCAAAACGTATCAAAGAATTTTTCAGTCATAAAACCAATGTTACTTAATCCTCTATCGTTTTAAAAACATTTTCTCAAAATAAATGTTGTATATGTTTTTTTAGAAAATAGTTAAGCTCATTTAAATGTGAAGCTGCTGCCCTGGCTCTAAGCACAACTCTTCCACTCTCATTATATGTTACGCTCTTTTTCACTCACACACTCTCTCGCTTCCTCTCACTCTCTGTAGCTCCGACTTGGTCAGTTGAGCGCTCTCTGGCGATCTCTGTCGAATTTTGGCTTACAAAGTAAAAACAGCTGATGCACAAGCTGCACAAAAGCATACCACACACATCCACACACACTTCCATACACACTCGTATAGAGAGCGCTAGTGCTCACCTGCGCTTGGCATACACTCGCGTACACGCACACCTTCACGGTGAAGCGGGAGCGTAAGTTTTTTCTACCTGTTGCCAACAAAAAAAAGTGAAAAAATACATACGTTTTTCACTGAGCCTCAACACTGAAAATGTGAGTTAAGAGCCGCATGTGCTCTGGTCTGGAGCGCAGTTTACTTGAGTTTAGAGTGCCGTCAGGTTGTGGCCGTTGCCGTTCGGAATCGAAATCGAGATCGGAATCGGAACGAGCAGCCGCCAGCGATAAACCCGTCGTCGGTATGTTACAAAGCTGAAGCTAAAGCCGCTTTGGCAGCTCCCAAACCTCTCGTTGTTCACTCGCCTCGTTGATCGTGCGGAACAATCAACCCAGCGACGGGCTAGCTCCGAAATAAAATTTACAAAAAAAAAAAAAAAAAAAGTAAAAACAGACGCTTTTTGTTGCTGTTTTTTTTTTTTTTTTTTGTATAATCAACAAATAAATGTCTAAACAGAAGTGTGTTATATACACGCACGCCACCTACTTATGTACAATATTCGAAAAAATATAAATACGCGTTATGTGAAGTTATACGGAAAATATGCGAAAGTGCAGTGGCTCCTCCAGTAAATATTTATTTAAATATACATGTGAGATATATGAAAGATCGCGTAAGATATTTTTAAAGCTGGTCAGCTTGAAGTACGCGCACCGCAACGCTGTGTAGCCCAATCGCCACAGTTACAGATACACGTAGCAGATGCGTGTATCTATTGAATAAGAGTATCTGTATCTGTGGCTGTAATCGTAAGCGCGTGTCTGCGGCACGTAATGGCATTCGAGCTAAGCAGAGACAGTTCTGGGTGTAAGCAGAGCTCTTTAAGGTATCGCTCGGCATTTACAGAACGCGAAACTGACCAAATTGGGATGAAAATTTTTCAATTGAAAATGTGAAATGAGCTTGAAAACTGACATCAGAGACGGGGCAGCCATTAGTAAAGCAATAAGTAATAAAAGAAATTGAAAGCTAATGGCAATTAAGCAATTACATGCGATAATGCAACAACATGACAAGCTAATATAAAATACAAATAAAAAATATTAATACATGAAAAATGATATAAAGTGTCATTTATAAAAATTAGTAAAAACGGAATAGTTTAATGTAACTAAAAAGCAAATCAAATATTTTTGCCTAATAATGCGCCTTACAAAAAACACAATTTTAATGGCCACATTTACAACTATAAATTTCAACAGGTTAATGTGCACGTTAATTTTCATTAATTAAGCCAAATTAATACGTCGAAAATACCTAATGTATTTATGGAAAATAACAAGCCAAACGTAGATATATCAACAGCTTTTATTGTGTGCTAATCAAGCTGAAAACTCCCACTGTTCAAAGCCAACGCCAGAGAGCAGGGCTCAAGAAAAAGTGCAAGTGTGCATGTTTTCGATATTTCGAGTGGGAAAAAAGGGCATATAAAGCGTATTTGACAGCAACTACAATACGAGTATTAAAGTCAGTTTCAGTCATTGTGTCAACAAATTGTGACCATTTTGGGCGGCTCGACGACGTCGTCTTTTACGTCAAAGAAAGTGAAAAGCGCGGCGGATCGCGTTGGCATATATTTAATTTAAAATTCGTCATCGATCAACGTCGCCGTCAGCGTTTACTTTGAGGCCATGGCCAACATTTCTTTGCTTGGGGCGGCGCAGGCGGAGGCGGGGGGGGCGTATACGCAATTTGCTCAACATAGTGCAATTTGTGGCCTACGCAAGACGCCAGTTTTATCTCAACCTCAAGAGCTGCTGTCAAGCCGAGAATTTGTTGTTGATCTATCTTGTTGTGTTTAACTGTCTTCAACTGACATCTTGGGGACAGTTTAGTCGCTTATCTTTAACTGCAGAGCTATTTTGTTTTGCTTATGGGGTCATTGGTTAGAACTTTACTTGAGAAAACAATTATCATAGATAAGGCTATGCCTTTTAGCAGGTAATTGTTGGCCAATATTCATAGCTAATTTGGTAGTTGGCACGTGCCTGCCCCTAAAGTTATAGAAAAACTCATAAAATATTTATAACCACTTAGCAAAAAACCAATGAAAATTCTATTCTATGCACTAGCTCAGTTTGGGTAACTTTTAACTAGAAGCGGATCTGTAGAGAACAATATATATATATTTTAAAGCTTCGCTGTAAGTGTGTCAAGAGGCAGTGGGTGGAGTTGGTTTAAGCTAATGATTAAATTGCTGCCGATGCAGCTGGGAAGGCGCAATTAAAAGGCGGCGTGACTAAATTCAAGATGCTATATGCTATATGCATAGGCACAGATCCAAGCCCAGGAAACCGGTTAGCCGTTAGTTGATGGCTGTTGGCTGTTAGTGGCTATAACTATTCAAGTTGTACATTTTAATAGATAGAGTCCGACTAGATACTGTCACCGGTGTGTTTATCAACGAAATTAACGTGCCTTAGTGAAAATTGCGTCCACTGGGAACCAGTTTTTAGCAATGAATATTGACGGTCAGTTATATGTTATGCAAATATTTGCAGCTTTTAAGGTGCTCGCAAGATACCTGACTAGAGACAAAGCGTAAATATAACTGCAGGGCAACAGGTTTGCGATACTCAATCCGAATTCAAGTGAATTCCACAAATATATACAACATAAGCAACACATCAGATCAATTTATCCCAGCCGAAGGCGCTCGATTAATCAATATAAAAAAAGCTCACATAAGACGCAACATCAACTAAAAAACCCCAGGCAAAATGCGAATTGTACAGTACAAAATCAACGCTGACTTGGCAGAAATATATACATACATATATAAAAAATAAAAGCAACTGCCAAAATTTTCGACAATCTCAAGGTTTTCAGCAGAAAATACCTAAAAAAAAGTCTCCATCAAGACAATGAGGTACCAGAAACGCGTTCCATATAAGTTGCTCGCGTGTGTGTGTGTGTGTGTGTGTAGTGCTTTGTGTGTGGGGAAATCCTGTCCTTAAGTGTGTGATCTTTAAGTGCCCAACGTACTGATAACAAAACAAAGGCCAACAAGGGCTCAAGGCGCAAAACAAAAGCATAAACAACAATCGGCGTAAAGTTGTTAAAATAAATATTGAAAACTTGTAAATTATTTTAAACATAAAATAAAACAAATTTCACCCAAACTGAAAGTGCATTAAAAACGCAAAAGAGCAATCAAATTTAGTTAAATATTATAAATAAAAAAAAACAGCAACAAAATATATAAACTGAAATTTAAAGTCCAATTCTTCGGAACGTGTTGGAATTTAATTAAAGCTATTTTTCAATTTGTTTTGTTTGTTGTTATTGTTATATTTCTTAAAATTATTTTGTTTGCAGTGTATTTGCATGAGTGTTGCACTTGTGTTGATAAATAATTTTACAGTTATCTGAACGTGTGCGTCGCACTCGGCGCTCTCACTTATTGTGTTTCAGCTGAAGACAAATTCACCTGCTTTAATGTGGCAACAACAACAACAACAACAACAACAGCAGCAGCAATAACAACGAGTGAGCCGCCAGTGAAGCAGGCTGAGCGCCAGCTGTGGGTGTGGAGCGGCTGCTAGACACAGCCGTCAATGCGGCGGCGACGTCGACTTCGATGCCGCTGTCAATGACGCGTAGCCGAATCAAATTCGCCTAACTTAGCCAAAACAAAATTGGACTCAATCAAAAGTGTACAACAACAATAACAACATCCTTACAACTCAAGCGTCAAACCGCTAGAACAATTGCAACATGACCGTCTCGTATGCGGGCGAAGTGCCCAATGGCAGCAACTTTGGCTGCTTCTGGAAAATCCTATGGAAGTGAGTACAGTCGTGGGCATTTCACTAGAACCACGTCCCCAATTGGGTCGTACAATCAATAGACTCTGTTGGTAATTTTCGCATTAGTCATAGCCCGGCCAGTCGCACAGTGTTTACCAGTGTAATTAACATCCCATATGCATAGTAACCAGTCACAGTGCCCACTGTCAGCTGTTGTTTGCTTGCTTTTTTATTTTTATTTATTTTTTTGTTAAACTCAGCTCGCATTAATTGTTTCCAAAGTGCAGTCACTCGTAACCAGCAGCCATAGAGACTCCCCGTGGCGGTCAGCACTCGCTGTACCATTTCTAGCCAGAAGAGAGCACGAGAATAAGTCTCGTTGGAATTAGAACAAACAGCTCTGCAGCACTAAAATGAGAACTAGAACTAAAACTGTTTCCATAAATAATATAGAACAAACCTAAAAATTACTTATAATGCCCTGTAAACTCTGAAAATGTGCAGGTTATACCAACATTATGTAATCGTTAGAGAGTGTGTATAGGAGTCCAGTTCGACCGTTCACCTTTATGAACCATCAATCTCTGAGAATTTTAAGCCTAAAGAATGTAGATTCTCATATGGCTAGAAATATCGATAATTTGATCGAATAACAATCTCCTGCTTCCAAAACATATCTTGCAGATTATTAGAGACAGAGACACATATACAGAATATTACGTATATCTAATTTAAAGAAATGTTCGTGTGCGTGTTACGGTAGCGCGACACGGGGTATTTGCCTAGTCAGGCACTCCCAACTAGAGCACTTGTTTGATATAACAAAATATAAAATAAAAAAAAAAGCACAATCGAAGATGAAAGTCTACAGCGATTACCAATACAATAAAATATGGGGGATAATCAGCCAGTTTGTCTAGATTAATGTTATAAAACAATAGTCTGAAAACCAACAAAAAATTAAATATTTAGTAGCCATCAGCTTATGTTTATGAGACAGCTGTATGAAATTTAAATATTTATAATATGTTAGGCGAGAGAATTAATTAAAAATAATTGAAGACTCTACTCATAGGCTTAAAAACTAGTAAAGCTGTCTGAAACGATTTATTATTAAATACGCAATTTTGTTGCATATATAATTTTTTACTTCAACAAGTATTCCCCTTTAAAAAAGTGAAGTACCTCTTACCTTATAAAATGGCATACAAAATCCGAAATCCGTGAGGTGACGCTGAAAATGAAACAAAAATTAAAATTTTTAATATTTCTCTGAAATAATAAAGCTTTATGGATCTCAAGGTTTTTAAGACGATTTCACTTAAATTTTTGCGCAATTTTTTCAGATTGAAAATAACATAAAAATGTTTTTATGAAACCATCTCGTACAACTAATTTCGATTTCTTTTAGAACAAAAAATATGAGTAGACTTTAATTGGCTTCACGTGTGCTTTGTAAGCTCTGAATACACACCTTAACCGCTTAAATTCATTGGGAACTCTGATTAGAATTTAGTAATATATTATACAACTCAGATCACGCAACACAGTAGATGCCAACCCATATACTATTAACATAAAGACCTTGATGCGGCCAGACAAAGCAAAGACCCCAAAGTTCGGCTTAGAGCCGCAATTCCTGTTCCATTCTCAATCAAGGCGATGCGCCGAGGTTATACAGATAATTATAACATATGGCAACATATCAAAACCTCCAAATACATTGGAACTGACATGCGAGACCAGAAAAAAATTAGTTGCAGAACTAGAGAGCCATTAAGCATGGAATATTTTAAAATGAATTTGAAATGTGATGCGGCTGATTAATAGGGTGATGCCCGAGCAATAGCTATAAGGAAATAGATTCGGAGCTGTGTCAGGTGAAAACTGGATGGTTACAAGCTCAAAGTCGAAGCCGTTCATTGACCAAATGCCAGGCAAGCTTTTTGTGTCTGGCCGTAAATTTTGCACAGCGCTTAAATTTAATATCTCTAATCTCTTATGTTATATCTGTTTTTTATAACAATTATAGATGGCGCGGCAGCGTTTACAAATTAGTGTGGCGTGAATTAATCGCCTATTTGTGTTTATACTATACAATAAATGTCATTTACCGATTCGCACTCACTCCCGGCCAGCAAACGTAAGTAAACATCAGCTTTAAAGATAGATGATAAAGATTTCACATATATATATTTGTATTTCGTGGATGGCAGAATCTTCAACAAGATTCGCCAGTACTTTGCGCAACAGGGCGAGAACATACCCATGTCGTTCGTGCTGGGCTTCTACGTGAATCTGGTTGTCAAGCGCTGGTGGGAGCAGTATCGCCTGCTGCCCTGGCCCGATACGCTGGCCCTGTTCATCAGCGCCGCCATACCCAATTCCGCGGGAGTCGTTAATGTGAGTGGTCACGCCCTAATTGCCCGATCAGACGCCTCTAATTCGTTCACCTTCTTCACAACAGAATGAAACGGGTCGCCTAATGCGTCGCAATATTATGCGATATATGGTCCTGGCCTATGTCATTACACTGCAGCGCATCTCGCTGCGCGTTAAGCGCCGCTTTCCTACCACACAGCACCTGGTCGATGCGGGCCTGATGCACGAATCTGAGATGAAGATATTCGAGGCGATGAATCAGAAGAGTCCCATGTCCAAGTACTGGATGCCCTTGGTCTGGGCCACAAACATCATCAACCGAGCGCGCAAAGAAGGACTCATTGCCTCGGATCACATAGTGCAGACCATACTCGTCGAGCTGTCCGATATCAGACGACGCCTGGGTGGTCTGATTGGCTATGACACGGTCTGCGTGCCGCTGGTCTATACACAGGTAAGCGTGGGCGACTATAGAAAAAATTTGAACAAAAAATGTGCATTTGCCAGGGGGCAACCGGATTTGAACCGGGGACCTCTCGATCTGCAGTCGAATGCTCTACCCCTGAGCTATACCCCCACGATAGTATTTTATATTTCAAATGTTTATTTCAATCTCGACAACTCGTTGTGATGCGTCATGCTGCAGGCAGAGAGTTTAGATAAGCATTTGAGCGGATGCGAATACTTGAAATGAACAGACGAAATAAAAACAACAAATAGAAAAGAAACTAACGAATGGCAGCGCAATTTTTCAATTTATCTGTGAACTCTTAAATTAAATTAATTTTAACTATTTTTACAGGTGGTTACCCTGGTGCTCTACACGTACTTCATAGCCGCCCTTCTGGGTCGCCAAATGCTGCCAAATGTTGTGGACCGTAATGGCAGGGAGGATCCCGATTTGTTCTTTCCATTTTTTACGGTTTTGCAGGTAAGCAAGCACGAATTAAAAATACGAAAAACCCGGAATTCAAAATGTATTTATTTAATTTGCACGTTCCGCTTTATTTACCATAAATCATAGAAATTTCCACGTCTCGCCGTTTTGCGAATTGTAAAAAACTTCGCGGTTTTGTGGATCATTAACACAACAGAAATTGAAACTCAAAATGCGGCTACCGCCAATCGTAATGGCTATACCTTGTCAACGATATGACTACGATCAAAGACATCTATATCGTTTCGCGATATGGATAGCTATAGTATGTTAAATGTGTTGTTGTCGCTGTTTCTACAATATTTTGCTTTTGGTTTTTGGTTTTTGCGGTTCCCTTCGAATGCAGGCAGATTTCAAGTGTTTTGCGTTATGTAAACGACTTGCAGTCACGTTCGAAATAATAAATTGGCATTTTCGCTTTGTGTGTTTGACGAAAGGCATTTCGCGACTCAGATAAAAATCAGCAACAAGTGTTTTTTCCAACCATGTTTAGGAGCTGTCATTAATAACTGTTAATTTCGCTACCTACGAGGTACGAAATAAAATTTAAAATTAAGAAAAAAAGAGAATGGAAAAACTTTCGACGTGCCACTCACATGAAGCCATCACGTATACACACCCTACAACCAACATTACGATACACGAGCCATGCTTGGCTTTAATTGAGATAATTTCATGATAATTTTTGGATTGTTGTCTTACGATCTTATTGCATTCACTTTTTTGCAGTTCGTTTTCTTTGTGGGCTGGCTTAAAGTTGCCGAAGTGCTAATCAATCCCTTTGGCGAAGACGACGATGATATCGAGTTAAATTGGCTAATCGATAGACACATTAAGGTAAGTAAAATTATAAACAGAAAATCCTTTCCAATTTATTTTTAATATCTTGCAAGGGATATTCAAGATATAAGTTAGAAGAAGATATATAAATTTGTATGATGAATCGTAGAACTCTAGTTTATAAAACATTTATAGCTTCCCCATTCCACAGAAACGGTGTGCAGAAAAAAATTCCCTAAAGTGAAAAACCGGTATACTTTAAATTGGTATCAACCTTAGTCAATTATATTTAGCGTGCATTTGCCAAAAAAAAATATATATACATAACATATATATGGGTTTAATTTTTAATGAGAAATACTCAATGAGCAAACAGGTGTCGTGAGATCTACACTCAGCTCTACAGAGATAATGTGTTTATATAAAAACTCATCTCTTTAAAATTTATAATATGTAGGCTGTAATTAGTTAGCACCTAAATAAATAAAAAACCAATAGATGACTATACTAAACTCAGCCATACGCTTGTCAAGCTTGTTTCAAATTTATTATCAACTAAAATAACCATTGTTAAAAGCTGTCAGAGTTTTTGTCTAATACCCTGTACAATACCCCCACAAATTGGGTTAGTATGATATGTGTATAATTATGGAGATGGTGTGCTTATTTTTTTTTGAGTCAGCCACATTTTTTGTGCTGAAAGGAAGAAAACATTTTTGCCACGCGCTAAATATAAAAGGCGCTTAACTCTTAATGACAGCAAAGGTAAATGTTTGCCAACGGTCATGACGACTAAATAAGTACCCTACTCAGAGCGAGGCACAAAGAATGCGTAATATAATAAATTATGTTGGTAAACTGAGAAGACACTTGACGAAACTGAACCTTGGTAGAAAGTTAAATAAAAGTTTACCAGAGATTTTGTAGTGTAATCAGGAAAAAAAAGATGTTTATATGGTATTCGTCTGGCTCACGCTCAAATAAAATCTAATAAATTTTTAAGAAGTATCATACCTCTGATGACACCAAAAAGCATAGCATTTTCAAGTAGGGTATAACAGTTAGTCGGCTTGGCGCAACTTCAGGCGTTTTGTTACTAAAGGTGTATTTTTGCAGCATTTCGCATTGGGCTCTGAACTTGCTGCTTTGCGAGGAGGGTTTTGCATGTGTAGAATATGTATAAGTTCGAATGTGCATACATATGTGTATGTATGTATAAACAATATGTATGTGCGGCTATATCTCTGAGTTTGGGGTCTGCTGTTGCTGGTTGCTTGCAATTATTTACAAAGCCAACGGCAGCACCAACAGCAACAACAACGAACACAACTACAACACACATTGGCAAAAGTAAATTGAAAACAGGTTTTCTGTTAAAAATAAAAAATAAAACAAATTAAAAAACATTGAAACCTCTTTGGTAGAGCTTTTTATCATTGACTGTTTTGTTTTTGAGTTTAATGTTGTTATTTGTTTTTGTGATCAGCTTAGGAGCAGAGTTTGCCTTTTACATTGAAAATCAATGGTCAAGAATAAGCACGGATGAGAACAAATGGGCTAATGAATAGTTAATTATTTAACTGTAAGCATTTAATAGCTTTCGTGGCACACACACCAAAACGTGACACTTGACAAAGAGTTAACCAAATCAGACATTGGCAAATAGAGCACTGAGAAATATTGTTTAAATAAGTTTTTGCTCGTGCATTATGAAACAATTAAAAGACAAGAAAAAATTTCACTTTTCCATTGGTTTTCGAAGTGGGGAGTGGGCCGATCGTGTCTGTGATGTAATTAGGTTTTTTAGTGCATGTATGTTTTTTTTTTTTTTTATTGAAGTGTATGTTTTTCTGTGGGCAGACATTAAAGAGTGGCATCATCAGAAATGGCAAACACGTACCATACAATGGCGCTGACCGCTCCACTTTTCATCATTTTTGGCACGCGCTAATTTCTATACGATTTCTACAGGCCGCCTACATGATTGTGGATGAGATGCACGAGGAGCATCCGGAACTGCTGCGAGATCAGTATTGGGAGTGTGTGGTGCCCAAAGAATTGCCCTACACCGTGGCCTCAGAGCACTATCGACGCGACGAGCCGAAAGGCTCGGCGGAGAATTACAAGGTGAAGAAGGAGGATGCCATGTATGCCAACATAATACCTGGCGGTGGCAAACGCATGCTCAGCGATGATGTGTATGCGGATTATGTGAGTGCGACCTGCGACAAAACTTTAAGCAAATCTGTGTTAATCTGACATTTGACTTTTCAGGAGAGCGTGGACACGCCCATGGTGGAGCGGCGCAAGAACAATTGGCTGGTGCGTCAGCTGTCGCGCATGGGCTCCATGCGCAGCCAGTCCACGGCCTACTCCTCGGGCGGCATGCCTTTTACGCGCAACCGCTTGAACTCTGTTTACTCTAGTCCTGAATCTGGCATGCCATTGTCAATCCTGCAGCAACAGCAACTCCAGCAGCAGCAGCAGAACCAGCAGCAACAGCCGCCTGGGACCAAACCAAGCCTCTACGAAAAGTTTGTGCATCGCAAGTCGCTGCGAGCGCACCGCCAGCTAATCAAGCAAAGTAAGCTTGAAGCTATACGCACAAGAGAATCATCTAACCACCCAACTTAACCCACAGATTCCAAGCTAAATGGACTTAATATTAATGTGGCCAAGACACGGCCACGCATACCCACGCCGGAGGTGACCAAGGATGGTAGCACCAACACGGGTAAGTCGTCTGTTCGATTTTGCACGACTTTAGCTCAAACCAATGCAATTGCACCCTGTAGCCACCAGTGCTGTTATAATGGCACCACAACAGCTGAGCACCCAAAGCACTAGCGGCATGTATCCGTCGTACAGCACCACAGCCAGCGGCACCAATTTGCACCAGGACAGCGGCCAGGTGCTGGGCACACTGCTGCTGTCGCCCATCAAAGAAATGGATAGCTCATCATCCAATAATACTCTGATTCCAGGGCATCCAGCCACAGCAGCGCTTGCCCAAGCCGTCATGCCGACCAGATTGACGGATGGCTATACTGCAAGCTGTAAGTCGACTCCTGGCAAATATGAGTACCGATCTCTGATTTCCCTTTGTTCCACAGCAATGCCAACGGAAACCAATATAACCACACTCTCGTTTCCGTTCACCGTGACCACCAGCGCCGGCGAGTCGATGCCAACGGGCACGTTGAGCATTGTGCCGCTGAACGCAAATGCGCAGTTACCCACAATAACGACCACCGCGAGTGGATTTGATCCCAACGATGTGATCACCACGATACCCGTTTCCCTTTCCATACAACGCACGCCCTCGAACCTATCCATCGTAGAGCTAGGCGGACTCGGCGACAGTGTAGATGCCCACAACAGCAGCGGCTCCAGCAACGGCAGCGGTGGCATCACCACAACGGCTTTGCTGTCAGTGAAGTCGCTAAATGGAACTGCCAATATTTCGCGCAACAACAGTTTCAATCTAAGCCTGAATCTGCAGGATCCGAACTTCCAACGCTCCTCGGTGCGTTCGGCAGGTCCAACGGATTCAATAGATGGCGCATCAGCAATACCTCCGCCTCGGGGCATGGATGCAGCCGGAATGGTGGGCGGCACAGCGAGTGCCTCCTCAGCGCCATCAACGCTGGCCAAGCACAAGCCAGAGCCCAAAACGGGCGAGGTCTATGTGTGAGCATCGAGTATATTGTTATGGATAAATAGCTTTCTAGGAATCGTTTATAGCCGCATTGTTTGGCTAGTTAGGCCGTAAGCAGCTGATCCGCTTAGATGCGGATTTTTCTTGAACAGAGTTAAACATAGTTATACTTAGGATTAAATATTTTGGCGTAACGCCACCCAGAACCATTTCTACGATATTATGTTAGCTTCAGTTATGAAAAGTTGTTCGAAAACTTTAAGAGATCAGTAAGCGAAATGTCGCATAGTCTTTAGAGTTGATTTAAGCTTAAAGTAACTGTTAAAGAATGTGCTTGAGATACATTATAAAGAACGCATACAACTTTCACCATATTGTATAGATCGTGTTTAACAAGAGTAACACATATCACTCTTTAGATATAACTTCCCAAAAGCGACTTCACTTAACGCACATTATGGATTCCTATGTATATCTATTTCTCGTCCCTCAGCTGTACGGACCTCGTTATGAAACGATGTTCGTGTATATATAAATGTTACCTTATAATAACTGCAATTTCTTATAATTTCTTTGGCACTTGCCATATTAGAATAGATACACAACTACTTTTATGCATGATAACAACTACTTTTATTAAAAATCCCTATCGTGTAGGCAGTGTAAATATAAACCAACACAATATGTGATATGCGATTTTTATCAAATTACGTTTTTAAGTCTTATAGTCTTATATATAAACTATAAAACAATTCTGCAATGTATCTATATAAATAATTAAACATATAGGTCAACTATTAAACTGTCAACTATATAAACTGTAAATAAGTTGATGTACCATCAGCTATGTTTTATAAATAAAAATCTAGATCCAATAAAACTACGTAATATTAAAGGTCATGGTCATTTATCATGAATACCACAATTATTTTTGGGTCATTCGAGAGAGTTTCCGAGAAATTCAACAGAAAACATTTACCGATATTATGGCCACCCCAGACTCCAACAGAAAGACTGGGGGTGGGTGATTGTTCTTTATGGTGTTCCTTGGGATTTCGATGAGAAAACATTGGTATTATGCATATAACCTTTGGAAAGTGATAAGAACATGTGTAGATATCGAGAGAAAATCGAGATCGCGATAAACAGAGAAAGAGTGTAATGATTTCTCGCAGCTAGTCAATAGAAGCATGTAGAGGAGTATAAGAGAATGAGTATAAGAGCTGATCAATCTAAAGATCACTAAGATAACAGAGTCTCAGTTGTGGAACTCTTTGCAAGTCCAATCAAAACTCTTACGAGTACGATCAATTAATGCCAGGAACGCACTGAATCAACATAACGTTCAGTAATTTAAATGGACAGTACCCAAACGATCTGCAGTCAGTCGCGCTGGGGCGATCGTGTGTAACGGTCATCAACTGTAAGAACTAAACTGGACTAAATTGTGAACGAATACCAAAGGATACAGCACAGTGCCAAAGGTGAACACGCGTAAGAGGATATATATGCACACGAGGAGATCAATAGAAGAAATATGCTCTGTGGGAATTGTTTTTAAATAAATGAGTCTCGAGCAAGTTCGTGTTATAGTTAATGCAAGAATCTGTGGAAAATTTAAGCAAAGATATGGCACCTCACTTGTTAACCCCGGAGGTCAATAGCAGAAACGACAAGGCAACAACAATCTTGCAACGCGACTTGGAATGATTCTCGATTTGTCGCCTAATTAAATTAACCTTTTTGGCGTCTGTTCGCCTCTAGCAAATGTTGTGTGGTTGTTGTAGTGCATACAAAAATCTTGGTGCTCAAATCGATGGCCCGTTGAATACTTATATCACGTTTAATTGTTCTACTGTCAGTTACAGTTATGGATCGGGATCGCGACGAGGCGTCCCTCACGACGAGCGATGAGAAGTCTGTGGAGGAAGTACCAGTGGCCCCGGGCCTGGAGCCCACACCCCCGATTAGCTTCTGGCAACTGTTTCGCTTCTCCACCTATGGCGAACTCTTTTGGCTCTTCTTTGGCTTTATCATGTGCTGCATCAAGGCGCTAACCTTGCCCGCCGTGGTCATTGTTTATAGTGAATTTACTGCCATGTTGGTTGATCGTGCCATGCAGGTGGGCACCAGCTCGACGGTACATGCGCTGCCCCTTTTAGGAGGCGGCAAGAAATTGTGAGTACCGATGTTGGTCAACGATGATGATTTTAAGTTGAATCGTAATCTCAATGTAACAGAACTAATGCCACACGCGAGGAAAACAACGAAGCACTCTACGATGACTCCATTTCGTATGGCATTCTGCTCACCATCACCTCGGTGATCATGTTCATATCCGGCATATTTTCGGTAGATATATTCAATTTCGTAGCCTTGCGTCAGGTGACACGCATGCGTATCAAACTCTTCGAGTCGGTTATGCGACAGGACATTGGCTGGCATGATCTGGCCACCAAGCAGAACTTTGTCCAGAGCATGACGGAGTAAGTATTATAGGTAGTATGCATGAGTATTAAAAATGTCTTAGAACTGATTGACAATCTCTCGACTAACTAACTGCTTGACTAAAGAAGTGCCACTAACCTTAACTAGGATCTGTTATAACCAAATGTGGAAAATTTGAAAAAATAGGTTGCATGACAATTTTTTGTTTCCCATCTGATCGACTGAAAGTCAAGCTAACATGTTATGGCATGCCATTTCCTTAAAGCGACATTGAAAAGATCCGCGATGGCATCTCTGAGAAAGTGGGCCACTTTCTCTATTTAATCGTGGGCTTTATCATAACGGTTGGCATATCCTTTGGCTATGGCTGGAAGCTGACGCTAGCCGTGAGCTGCTACATACCACTCGTTATCGTCGTCAACTACTACGTGGGCAAGGTAAGAGCTCGTGCCTTGACCCGCATTCAACATTAACAGCTCGTTTTATGCACAGATTCAAGGCACGCTGACGGCACGTGAACAGGAGTCTTATGCAGGCGCAGGTAATCTGGCGGAAGAGATCCTAAGTGCAATACGCACTGTGGTTTCCTTTGGCGGCGAGAAACAGGAAGTGGAGCGTTTCGAGAGCTTACTAGTGCCCGCTCGCAAGGCCAGTCAGTGGAAGGGCGCCTTCTCCGGCGTGAGCGATGCGGTACTGAAGTCCATGCTGTTTCTATCCTGTGCGGGCGCATTTTGGTATGGCGTGAATCTCATTTTAGACGATCGTTATGTGGAGGATAAAGAATATACTCCAGCCATTTTGATGATTGTGGGTTTGACAAAGCTCAACTCTAGAAATCCTCCATTTAACTACCCATTTCTCCGCAGGCCTTCTTTGGCATTATTGTGGGCGCGGATAACATTGCCCGCACGGCGCCCTTCCTCGAGTCCTTTGCGACTGCGCGAGGCTGTGCGACCAATCTGTTTAAGGTCATTGATCTGCAATCGAAAATCGATCCATTGTCCACAGATGGCAAACTTTTGAACTATGGCCTGCGTGGCGATGTTGAGTTTCAGGATGTCTTCTTTCGCTATCCTTCGCGTCCCGAAATTATTGTGCATCGCGGCTTGAATATCAAGATCCGAGCGGGTCAAACTGTGGCGCTAGTTGGTCCCTCGGGCTGCGGTAAATCAACCTGTATACAGCTGTTGCAGCGCTTTTACGATCCCGTTTTTGGCGCTGTGCTTTTGGATGAGTTGGACATACGCAAATATAATATACAATGGCTGCGCTCCAATATCGCTGTAGTGGGACAGGAACCGGTGCTCTTTATGGGCACAATAGGTAAATGGCAAACATCTTTTCTATATCTAAATATCTATAAATGAAAATTAACTCTTGTCAGCGCAAAACATCAGCTATGGCAAACCGAATGCCACACAGAAGGAAATCGAAACAGCTGCCCAACAAGCCGGGGCTCATGATTTTATTAGCCATCTACCAGAGGTAAGTGACGCACCACTAGAGCGTGATCCTGACTGATCCTTGCCTATATTCCATATAGAGCTATCGCACTATGATCGGTGAACATGGCTCCCAGCTCTCAGGCGGTCAAAAACAACGCATAGCTATTGCTCGTGCCCTTATACAGAATCCCAAAATATTACTTCTCGATGGTAAGTAGGCTCCCTGACTGGAAAAAGTCCTAAAAACTGTGCTTTTAACCGCTTCATTTTAATGCAGAGGCCACCTCGGCATTGGACTATACTTCCGAGAAACTGGTGCAACAAGCTTTGGATTTGGCCAGCAAGGGACGCACCACCATTGTGGTTTCACATCGGCTCTCGGCTATACGTGGTGCAGATAAAATAGTTTTTATACTTGATGGCAAGGTACTAGAGGAAGGCTCACATGATGATCTGATGGCGTTAGAAGGCGCCTACTATAACATGGTTAAGGCAGGAGACTTTAAGGCGCCAGACGAGCAGGAAAAGGAGGAGAATATAGATGAGACTAAGCGTGAGTTACAATAATAACAATTTTCAGCAATAGACTTAGGCTAACATGCTTTGTAGGCAAAAGTCTAGCGCTCTACGAAAAATCCTTCGAGACGAGTCCGCTCAACTTTGAGAAGAACCAAAAGAACAGCGTGCAGTTCGATGAGCCCATTATCAGGTCCATGAAGGAGAGCAACAAGGAAAAGCAGAAGAGTGCCGCGGCAAAACCAAACTTTTTCAGAACCTTTGCGAGAATTATGCGCATCTCACGCCCCGAATGGTGTTATCTAATCCTAGGTGGCATTTCGGCCATAGCCGTCGGCTGTCTCTATCCGGCATTCTCCATTATCTTTGGCGAATTCTATGCTGCACTCGCCGAGCAGGATGAGAAGGTAGCGCTCAGTCGTACTGCGGTGCTTTCTTGGGCATGTTTGGGCATTGCGGTAATCACTGGGGTTATCTGCTTTCTGCAAACCTATATGTTTAACTATGCTGGTGTTTGGCTGACCACACGCATGCGTGCCATGACCTTTAGGGCAATGGTCAGCCAGGAGGTTGGCTGGTTCGATGAGGAGCAAAACTCGGTGGGTGCGCTCTCAGCGCGTTTGTCAGGCGAGGTGGCCGGTGTGCAAGGTGCCATAGGATTTCCACTAAGCGGCATGATCCAAGCTGTATCAAATTTCATTTCTGGCATATCAATTTCCATGTACTACAATTGGAAATTGGCGTTGCTTTGCCTGGCCAACTGCCCGATTATTGTTGGATCTGTTATACTCGAGGCCAAGTGAGTAAACATCTATGCTCTACTTTCTGTATACTCAACATAAGCGAGTTTTACTTTCGTAGAATGATGTCCAATGCATTGATTAGAGAGAAACTAGTACTGGAGGAAGCCTGTCGCATTGCCACCGAATCGGTTACCAATGTGCGCACCATCGCCGGCCTGCGTCGCGAATCTGAGGTCATCAAGCAGTACACCGCGGAGATTAAGCACGTGGAGATTCTCATAAGACAGAAACTGCGCTGGCGTGGAGTGCTTAACTCTACAATGCAAGCGTCGGCTTTCTTTGCCTATGCCGTAGCGCTCTGTTACGGCGGTGTTCTGGTCTCTTGGGGTGAAGTGCCCTTCCAGGATATCATCAAGTAGGTTGCCTACTAGTCCACGAGTGGTCGCATACTCAAGATTGAATTCTTTTATTTAGAGTATCTGAGACGCTGCTCTATGGCTCTATGATGCTGGCCCAATCGCTTGCCTTCACGCCCGCCTTTACCGCCGCCTTGGTGGCCGGTCATCGCTTGTTCCAAATCATTGATCGCAAGCCGCGCATTGTATCGCCCATGGGCACAATTAAAAACACGCTCGCCAAGCAACTGAATCTCTTTGAGGGTGTGCGATATCGTGACATCGAATTCCGTTATCCCACACGGCCAGATGCGAAAATTCTAAACGGTTTCGACTTGGAGGTCCAGCAGGGTCAAACTGTGGCATTGGTTGGCCATTCCGGTTGCGGCAAGTCCACTTGCATTCAATTGCTACAACGCTACTACGATCCCGACGAGGGCACCATTGTAAGTAATCGACAACGACACGCCAACTGTTTTTATTGACGATTTTTGAATATATCCAGCACATCGATCAAGATGACATTCAGCACGATCTAACACTGGATGGCGTACGCCGTAAGCTGGGCATTGTCTCACAGGAGCCGTCGCTTTTCGAGCGCACGATTGCCGAGAACATTGCCTTTGGAGACAATCGTCGTGCTGTGCCCATGGCCGAGATCATTGCAGCTGCCAAGAGCGCCAATGCCCACAGCTTCATCATTTCCTTGCCCAACGGCTACGATACGCGCATGGGTGCCCGTGGCACTCAGCTATCTGGTGGCCAGAAGCAACGCGTGGCCATTGCACGTGCCCTGGTGAGAAATCCCAAGATCCTGTTGCTGGATGAAGCCACATCAGCTCTGGACATGCAAAGCGAGCGGGTAAATTTCTAATATATTATGACTGTATTCTTTAACAACAAAGTCAACTCTCCACTATAGTTGGTTCAGCAGGCTCTAGACTCCGCCTGCTCTGGACGCACCTGCATTGTCATTGCTCATCGCTTGTCGACGATTCAGAATGCGGACGTAATTTGTGTGGTTCAAGGCGGCAGAATTGTGGAGCATGGCACGCACTTGCAGCTGATTGCCCAGGGTGGTATCTATGCCAAATTGCACAGGACCCAAAAGGATCATTGAGATTTTAATTTGCGTTTTTTTATTATTATACCAAAGTTAAGATTTATTCACTGTCGTATTAAACACATAACTATTGTTCAATAAACAATCCTACAATTTTAAATATTCAATTTTTTTCTAAAAGTCCCAAAAGTTTTAGCCAATACAGCCCCGGTAACCCACTAGTTTGCAATAATACGAATAAGAACCTTACCCCTTTCTCGCATTCTTAACAAATATATATAGTGTAGACGTTAGTTTCCTCATTTGGGTAGTTGTAACCTCTGTTTATCAGTCAGTTACTTTTCGTAATGCAATTACTGAGATAAAATTCTACGCATTTCAATTAGGGAACGGTCTTAAACTACATAAATGCACTTTATATGGCATTTAAGAATCCAGTATCTCACTGATAATGCTTAATCTTTATGTCATCTATTATACAATTAAAACTAAAGACAATTTGATGCCAATGCCGCGATAATTGGGATTATATACAAATATTAGCATAGCAACCCTTGATAAGACTTAAAGACTTTTATCAAAAACACTTCCACCAAGATTTCATGAACTTATGAAAATAGATGCCATAAAGGTATATCCCAATGATAAAAGGGCACTCAGTCTATCAAAGAGCTAACTCTTTACAAATGCTCTGGAAAGTATTAAAGCATTTTTTTAAAGGACCTCTGATGACCTTTTTGGCCATATAATGGGAAATATTTAATGCTATGCACACCTTTATGATCATTGCATATTTTCAAGTCATTCTAAACCTTGAGAAGAATCAATCCAATTAAAATTTATTAAAATAAAATAAGAGAAATTATAAAAACTGCGAGCGTAGAACCCATTTCCACCCATCAGACATGCGCTCTTTCGGCTATTTGAACATAAATAGAACCGAAATTGATAAAAGACGAACCCCTGAGTGACAAACCCAACAGTTCGCGGCCGCATCTCAAACGAATCGGTACAACGCGAAAAAAACCCTCAAATCACGAAACGCAGTGCATCAATTGAAACAAAAGTCATTCCGGAATGCTAATGAATTTATCGAAAAGAAAAAGCCACCCAAAGATCATATAAGTATAGCATCCGTCGAGCTCCAGGCTTACCCGCGCGTGTCCACTGGCTGTACAGATTCATTTGGAATACATGAGCGCTAACTATTAATTGACCCCGAGGGTAAATGCATATAGGCGAAAGTTTTCCGCCTTAAACTACGTCAATGGCAGAGCCCAATATGAACGACGCTGACGATGCAACCCAGGCAGAGCCAAAGAAAATCAAATCGAAGCAACCACAATTGGAAACCGTGAACTATCGACAGCTTTTTCGCTATGCCTGCGGCATTGACTATCTCCTGTTTGGCTGTGCCATTACAGCGGCCCTTCTGCATGCCCTCGTCTTTCCCATAGCTATTATAGTCTATAGCGAGCTGGTGGCTATGTTCATCGATCGAAGCTTGGGCGTGGGAACCAGCTCGGGCACCAAAGCCCTGCCGTTGTTTGGCGGTGGAAAGCAGCTGTAAGTTTGGCCCGGAAATACCTCAATTCCATGTCCTCGCCTTGCTAAACTCCTTTTCACAGCACTAATGCTAGTTATGAGGAAAATATGGAGGAGCTGCGCAAGGATAGCGTCTCATTTGGCATACTCATGACGCTCGACTCCCTCTTGATGTTATTTTCTGGCATGACCTTTGTGAATATATTCAATCATCTAGCTCTTAAGCTGACAGTGTGCATGCGCCGAGAGTTCTTCAAGGCAACAATCCGGCAGGAAATAGGCTGGCATGATATGGCCAAGGATCAAAACTTTGCCGTGCGCATTACTGAGTAGGTATAGGTGACTTTTATGAAGAGACATATATTTTATCAAAGAACTTAAGCAACATGGAAAAAATTCGCACTGGCATTGCCGAGAATCTGGGCCATTTTCTGACAATTATGTGCGACGTGGCCATAAGCGTAATTATATCCTTTATCTATGGCTGGAAGTTGGCATTGTCCATGTTCTTCTACATACCGCTCACCATGGTGGTAAATGCTGTGGTTGCGCATGTAAGTGACGAGTGCAAAATGTAAATCCTACAAGTTTTTAATTCCCTCTCACCTAGTACCAAAGCAAGCTGACAGCTCGGGAGCAAAGCTCTTATGTGCGCGCCAGCTCTGTGGTGGAGGAAGTAATTGGAGCTATACGCACCGTGGTCGCATTTGGGGGTGAACGTTCCGAGTCCGCACGCTATGATAATCTGCTCAAGCCCGCTCTTAAGGCTGGCAAATGGAAGGGCGCCTTCTCAGGACTCAGCGATACCGTTATGAAGGCCATGATGTTTATAGTGGGCGCTGGTGCCTTCTGGTATGGCGCCAATTTGATTCTACACGATCGTGCCAGCGATATGCCCATAGAGAGTCGAGAGTACACGCCTGCAATTGTAATGATTGTGATCTCTGGCATAATTGTGGGCGCCAATCAGCTTTCACGCACTTCACCATTCCTGGAGACTTTTGCCATGGCACGTGGATCGGCGAGCGCCATTTATGACGTCATCGATCGCGTGTCTGTCATTGATCCGCTCTCCAAGGCGGGCAAGATACTCAACTACGGACTGAAGGGCAGCATTGAGTTTCGTGATGTGTTCTTTCAGTATCCCGCACGAAAAGATATCATTGTGCTCAGGGGACTCAATGTGACAGTAAAGGAAGGTCAAACTGTGGCTTTGGTGGGCTCCTCGGGTTGTGGTAAGTCAACCTGTATCCAGCTGTTGCAACGTTTCTATGATCCGGTATTCGGACAAGTACTGCTGGATGGCGAAGATGTTAGGAAATATAATCTAAACTGGCTGCGCTCCAATATAGCTGTAGTGGGTCAGGAGCCAGTCCTGTTCCAGGGCACTATTGGTGGGTGAAAGATTCTTTCCTTAACCGCAACAAATCTTTAAGAGAAAATTCTTTCGTGAACAGGTGAAAATATACGCCATGGCAAGCCGCAAGCTACCCAAAAGGAGGTCGAAGATGCTGCTAGAGCCGCCAATGCTCATAATTTTATCATTGCTCTGGATAAGGTAAATCCTCCCACCGAAGTCTTAGGCAATGTCTAAGCTTCTTTCTCCGCCAGGGTTACGACACGCACATTAGCGAGAAGGGTGTTCAGCTCTCCGGCGGACAGCGTCAACGCATTGCCATAGCCAGGGCTCTTATACAGAAACCCACAATACTCCTACTAGACGGTAAGCCTACGAAACATAATTTTCAAACTATAACTACAGTAAACCATCCATGCAGAGGCCACCTCCGCATTGGATTATCACTCCGAGAAACTGGTGCAGGCCGCCTTGGACAAAGCCTGCAAAGGACGCACCACCTTAGTCGTATCCCATCGACTCTCTGCCATCAGGCATGCCGATCAAATTGTTTATATTGAGAACGGCAAAACGGTTGAGCAGGGCACTCATGAGGATCTCATGAAACTGCAGGGCTACTACCACAAAATGGTCGCTGCCCATGAGTACGATGATACCGCCGATGAGCTGCTCAATGAAAGCGAAGAGTTGCCCAAGGAGCGCAAGCAATCCAAAGATGTCGAACATTTCCATAGGAACTCACTGAAATCCTTGGATAAAAATGCAGAGTTTCAGATGAAGCGACTGAATCTGAATAACAATCAAACAACCGAAGAGGAGGACAAAGCTAAGAATGCAACGAGCATCAGCTACCCGCGTACCTTCTTACGTATCCTGGCGTGGGCACGTCCTGAATGGAGCTTTTTAATCATTGGCACCGTATGTGCTGGACTTTATGGCTGCGCCATGCCTGCCTTCTCCATTGTGCTGGCGGAACTATATGCCTCGCTGGCCGAGCCCACGGACGAGGCGGTCCTGGAGCACAGCTCATCCATGTCCATTATCACCGCGGTAATTGGCGTTTGTGTGGGCATTTTCTGCTTTGTACAGACATTTTTCTATAATCTGGCTGGAGTGTGGCTAACCACACGCATGCGGTGGGTCACTTTCCGAACTGCTCCTTACTCAAATACTGATTTATATCTCTCTTAAGTTCCAAGACCTTTGGTTCCATTATGAAACAGGAAATGGGCTGGTTTGATGAAAAGGAGAACAGCGTCGGAGCACTCTCCGCTCGTCTGGCGGGCGATGCGGCCAGTGTGCAGGGTGCCATTGGGTTTCCTTTAAGCAACATTATACAAGCACTGACGAACTTCATCTGCAGCTTTTCCATTGCGTTCTCCTACTCCTGGGAGCTAGCTCTAGTCTGTTTGAGTACAGCTCCTTTCATGGTAGGCTCAATTGTGTTTGAGGCCAGGTTTAGTGAAAAGTCCGCGCTAAAGGAGAAAACCGTATTGGAGGAAACGAGTCGCATAGCCACGGAAACCATCGCACAAATACGAACTGTGGCTGCACTCCGCAGAGAAGAGGAACTGATCAAGGTCTATGATGCGGAAGTGGAACAATATCGTTTACAAATTAAAGGTCGTTTGAAATGGAGAGGATTGGTCAACTCTCTGGGCATGACTCTCATGTTCTTCGGCTATGCTGTCACTTTGACCTATGGCGGTTTTATGTGTGCCGACGGCAGGATCAAGTTTGAAGTTATAATGAAGTAAGTAGGTCCATACTGAATCGTAGCTCATCATCTTTAATGTTATCTCTTAATCAGAATTGCCAACACAATGCTTTATGGCCTGTTTATTTTGGCCCAATCCTTGGCCTTCACACCGGCCTTCAATGCGGCACTGCTCTCGGCCACACGCATGCACGAGATTATTGACCGCCAGCCGCTCATTCAATCTCCAAAAGTTGTCGAGCAGAATGGCAATGGCAATATCTATAAGTCAAACGTTGTTGAACAGGGCGTTAGCTATCGTGAGCTCAATTTTGCCTATCCATCACGGCCTGATAGCTCGGTGCTGCAAGACTTTAATCTAGATGTGCTGCAGGGTCAAACAGTTGCCCTAGTAGGGGCCTCCGGCTCAGGCAAATCCACCTGTGTTCAACTGCTGCTACGCTACTATGATCCGGATGAGGGCAAGATAGTAAGTCAATCTCTTTAGCGATCGTTAACTCTTCTTATTTCGCAAATCCTCCCAACAGCTCATTGATCAGAATAGCATACATCATGACATGGAGCTGAAAACCTTACGCCGTCGCCTGGGCATTGTCTCGCAGGAGCCATCGCTCTTTGAAAAGACCATTGCAGAGAATATCAGCTATGGGGATACCACGCGCGAGGTGCCCATGCAACAGATTATTGAGGCTGCCAAAATGGCCAATGCCCATGATTTTATTATGACACTGCCCGCCCAGTATGAGACCATGCTGGGCTCCAAAGGCACACAGCTGTCGGGTGGACAGAAGCAACGCATTGCCATTGCCCGCGCCATGGTGCGAAATCCCAAGATTCTATTGCTCGACGAAGCTACTTCAGCTTTGGATATGCAAAGTGAAAGGGTAAGCAGAAAGTTATGTTTGCACTTAAAAGTCTTGCATCATACAGACAAAAACTTGTCTTACAGGTCGTGCAACAAGCGCTGGATTCGGCCTGCTCCGGCCGCACCTGCATTGTGATTGCCCATCGCTTGTCCACCGTGCAAAACGCCAACATCATATGTGTTATACAATCCGGACGCATCATAGAGCAGGGCACACATTCTCAGCTGCTGGCCAAGAATGGCATCTACGCCAAATTGTATCGCAGTCAATCAAAATCCAAATAGCGCACAAAACTATGCAATAAATCAAAAGCGAACATTGGCTTAGTCAAGACACAAACCGTAGCCCATGAAAGTATGCTAACTTTTATGTTTACTCTCTGTACACGAGTAAAAAAATAATGTATACACTTTATAGAAATACCTGATAAGATCAAACCGGATTAACTTGCTGGGAGGGCCTGCATAGTATTAATAGTATGCTAAATATTTTAATAGTAGCTATCAAAATATGTAGAAATATTAATTTGCTTCCAATTTGAAGTTTACCACCTCAAATCTTTTAATAAATAGATCAATCAGAGATTATTTAGCTTCCAAATATATTCTATGCAACACATTTAGTTTACACTCAGCTTCCCTTTTCAATATATAAGTTTCGCAATAAAAAAAAGATGCAGCTTTATATACTCAACTTACATTTTTTATCTTATCTTGTTAATTGATAAAAAAGTATCGTGAACAGCAAATAATTTGTGGATATTTTAGTTGCGCATTGCGCCTTCTATAGTACGGTTTGACTTTGAGAACATTTTGCGGAGCGACAGAAATGTTTATCAACATACTACGCCTTTGCGTTTTAGTGCTTTGTACGTAATCTAGAGCCAAATTGTCTGCTATCAGTTAATTAATTATTCGTTTAGTCTGCACAGTGGTCAGAGCTGAAGGTAATCACGATGTCCAGCCGACATTCAAAGCTTGTCCATTAGAGATCTCCTGCGGCAAAGTGAACGAAAGCAGCGCCATCTGTCGTTGGGATGAGCAAAATAGCTGCATAAGAAAATACCCATCCAAATGTCATATGGATGTTGCAGCCTGTAACGAGCGAACAAGTATGTGCCACACGTTTCCAAAACAGCAAAACAAGACAGATAAATTAATTCGACATTATATGATGAACTCGTTCATTAATCATTTCGCTCAAGAAAATATCACTTTCAACGCATGTTACAGTTTGTGACAAAACAATAAGACCTTCCGCAAGGGTATACAAGACTCCCAATCATTCATGTCATTCTTTTCTTTTTCTCACTCCAAGCTTTGTCTGCTACCGTAAACTGAACAATCGAAACTCGTTTCTTACAGACTACAGCGACTATAGTGACGTATACTGCTTAATGGAGACATACATATGCGAGGAGACGCCGTCATATGAACGTTGGACCATCTTCTTTGGGCACGTGAAAGATTAAAACGGACAGTGAATAAAGGCGATGGCTTTCAATATTTCAAATATATAATTAATTAAGTCTCTGTTGGGCGGTGATCAGTGGGCAATGCCAGACGAACTTTTTTTTTGGTCTGTCACCAATGACGTCAAACGTATTTGCCCACTAATCTTGTGACCAGCGTGAGACAGAACGACGCCTCGAGCCCCCTTTTTAGCATTTTTCGGCTGTACTCTTTTGCATAATCTTCGCATGAGCTCCCAGCTGAGAGCCGGTCAATAGGTTGATGCGAGTACGGCCATGTATATAAATTGTGGAGTTTCTCAGAGTGTCTGTCAGTTTATCAGCTATTATCTACTGAACCAATCGTCTCTCATAATGCGTCTAACAATTTTCATTGGTTAGTTTTTAGGTCAAAGAAGTAACTTTGGTTACCTAATATTGGTACATGATTTCTTAAACTTATGATACTTTACAGCACTTAGCTTAGTTGTGGGCATGGTCACAAATCTGCCCATGTCATCAACAAGTCAGCCCAGCAGAGAACTACAGGAGAAACTATATCAACAATGGCCAGGCGTGGAAGACGAACGATTGGCCGATGCTGAACTGGATAATGCTTATGAACTGTACAAGCATAAGACCAGAAAGCCTAAGATTCTACAAGATTCGCCGAATGATATTTTGAGCGAGCCTCCAGCCAAACTTAATTTATGAAGATGAATCACAACTTCAACTACGTTCCAGCACTTACGGGTATACAGTCATTATAGGTTATGGTAATAGATAAGAATAAAAAAAAAAGACATAAATAAAATCAAAATTATGTACAAGCATTTATGGGTAAACAATATGGTATTAAACGAGCATTTTATAAAAAGCAAAAAAAAGGCAAGAAGAAATTATATCTAAAAACGTACGGGTACAAACGCCATTATAGGCTTTGGAAGTTAAAAAGAATTTAATAAAAAGCATCAATAAAATAAACATTTACGTCTAAACGTGTATGCAGACATTATATAGGGTAAAATTTTTAGTAATAATTTTGATGAAACGTGCAGATAAGTTGTTCCTATTGCATTCCGGCCAAGATCACGTAGATTGTCTGCTTTTTGAAAGACTTATAAAGCTCGGCATTGCACTAGCAGATTAGTTCAGTTGAATTTGGCAAATTGTCGAAAACGGAAATGTCGCCCATCAAGTTCTTATCTGTGTTATTTATCAGCTCTGCATTGCTGTTAATTGGTAAGCCCAAAAGAATTAAACCGAGACGAACCTTTACTCAAATGGTGTCTCTTTCGTAGTCCATGGAAGACCGCTGCACGAATTCAGCAGCGAAGATGATCGCATGAACGAGATTAGCGCTGAATTTATCAGGAAACGGATTATGTCAGATGTGGACCGCATATTCAGCAGTGCCGAAGTTCAAAAGTCAAAGGGTACAAATAAAATTAAGAGAAACAACGCAGAGACCACCAAGAGTTCCAAGCATGCTCATGGCATGATCACATCCATGCTGAGCTTTGTCAGTAATGTTTTTAACTTTGGCAAAACAATGATACGTAACGAATAATTAAATTTATTTTTAGATTTATAAGTGAAAATCGTTTATAAATCTTTGCACCTAAGAATAATTATATGTACAGGTTGAACTACCCCTAGAAATAAAGTTAGTGTAAACTCCAAATATACATAATTCGTATACCATTCATTATGGGAATTTTTACAAGTCATTCATACGTGACATTGTACGGCAATTAGACACACGACTCGAAATTTGTTTAGTCTAGCGATCTTCACGTTTTATGTGACGTCACGGCTGACTTACAAGCGCATATGTTAATCTTTACTAGGTGTGCATTAATTATTCCATTTACACACTTTATGGTTTGTTTGTTTTTATAATACAACGAGACCTTGCCTATCTAGTGCTCTCTTAGTTCTCTCTTTCTCTATCGCTTATCCGTTATTTATCTATCTTTCGGGAATTACGTTCAATAGAACATTTTTGGGAGTTTTTTATAAGCCTACTGAAATCTAAATTTATAATATAAATAAATATGATAATAGTGCGTAATTTATTAAGAAGATATTATAATAAGTTCTGGGAATTCTTATCAATCAATTAAAAATGAAAATCCCATGCTTTGATTTCGTATGGAAATCAGTTCGATTTGGACAAAGCTTTTTTAGAGTTTTAAAACAACATGGAAGAAACCTAAAAATATTAATTTCTATCCTTTATATGGCAAATATTGCACAATTCCCAAACTCAAAATGAAATCGAAAACCATTGATGGAGTCTTAACGGCAAGCGTTAATTGTGCAAGCACCACTCAACCTGGTGGCACTAAAAGCCGCAGTGGCAGCCACCCGATGAACAAGGTTATATATGTATGTACACATGTGTTTGCCATTCTCGGCTATATGTTCTCACTTTTATTTGGTTTTAAACGCTGTTTTAATTGCACAGATTGGCGTGTTAAAAAAGAAATTCGATTGTGTGCGAGCCAAAGATTTATTGAAGCACAAAAAAGCCAATTTATACATAACTCGATATTTGTTGTGAACAGGTATTAAAGTAGATTAGATGTACTTATAATATTCAATTGAACTTTGCTAATTCGCCTGGAGCAAGTGATATTTAAACATCTTGTTCAGTGAATTCATATTCTGGGACAGCTCATTACAGACACGAACCACGCAGCCTTTCGAGGCACATGTAAAAAGAAAGAAGCGTATTAAGGGCTTAGATAGATTTTTAGCTAGAAATACACTGCAATGCCACACTAACCCGCTAGATATTTGATCACTTTCAACAGCACCATGACGATTGCTGCGCCGATGCACACGCGCCGAGGCTTAGAACCAAATTGAACACGAAATCAAAAATACAGCCGCGAATAAATAAATGAAACGCGGTGCGGCCAGGTGAACGTTGACGCCAACGCTGGCAGCCGTGCACAGTGGGGCTGGTTGGACTAGTTTCAAATGCCCCGAAAAAAACCAACAAAAATCTCACTAGTCATCGCACCAAATTGACTCGATAATTGAAATGATTATCACTCGAATAAGGCGACCAATCAGTATTAAGTTTAAAAAAATATATCAATTTTGTAAATAAACATGCTCTTTTTTTCCAAACAATCTGGAGAGGCACTTACTATTATTGAACCAATGTGCAACGCCAGCAGAGATATTAAATCAAGAACCTCTGGTTGATGTTGCAATCGATCTTTCATACATATGTTCATATGAAGTATGCACATATGTACCTATGTATATACAAATATCTATTCAATTTTTTTTTTTTTGGCAGGCACTTAAACGTTCATTTGCCTGAGTTGCAAGAAACAGCATCGACAACAACAACAATAAAACAAAAACAAAAACAAGTCAACGATGCGTGTTACGTCATCAGAACTCGTTTGCATCCATGGGGCGGCCGCCTGCACAGTGTGACCGGCGCACAAGTTACGAGTAAAATTTAGGCCAAAAACTGTTGACACTCATAGCCGTCTTTATCAGTGCGATTATTTTTGTCATTGCAAGAGTTGCCATGCTTGTTGCAACCAGTTTCTTTTGTGGCCAGTCAACCGCGTGTCGCAGTCAGCAAATGGCAACAGCTGCCGGACGCCGCTGCCGTTGGCTGCACTCGCGATACATTGGTCATGAATTTTAACAGTATTTTGATCGTGATTTTCAAAGCTACTCAACCAGGCTGTTCGCAGGCCGTTTCTTTTGGCGTTTTAATAGCTCTAGCAATAAACTTCAAGTTTTAGTGATTGTAGGTTGAGTTTCAATTCATTTTGGACATGCCTCAGCGCGAATCGAGTATTTAAGCCGTTATTCACCTTCAGTCTAGATATTTTGCACCAACAACAACAGCACAAGCTAATCTGATCAATTGAATAACTTTTGCTTTAGCAGAACCGAGTGTTAATCAAAAAATCGGTGATATTAAAATAACTTTAGAGTAAGCCTAAGCTAGATTTATATTCATACTCATATTGACATATTTTTATTTGCTGTTGATCAACAAAAAGCAAGTTTATATGTACATACATACGCATGACTATTCAAGTGTACTCATGTGTCTGTTATCAAATACGCTCCAGTGTGACCAGCTCATGCTGTCATAGCAAGAACAAATGGGCAGCACTGTCGAGACAGCAGGGATCGATGTGTTTTTAAGTATATGAACATAATAGACATTCAAGTAACGGGCATTCGTTTTCCAAGAGAAAAAACCAAGCTTCTTCTCTTTTTCAGTTTCTCATTTCGTTCGTAAAAAAAAGCCGGCCGGCAATTTGCTTGAAAGAGCACGATCACACCAAGACGAGAGAGCAAAAAAACAAACTGGAAATAATGAGAAAAATAAACGAATAACGCAAGCACAACAAACGACGTTGAAAGCATTATCTCAGCTCTCAGCTGTGCGATGAAGTAATAAATGGGCCGGGATCGCCGGCAGCCGACAAACGATCGTCGGGTGAGCCGAACAGCCGAACAAATCTGTCAGTTTCTGATGCAGACATTTTATTTATTTTTTTTTTGAGGTACCGAGGAAAACTTCTCACTGCATGAAGTTCAGTTGCTCGCGACGAGCCATCCAGTGCGGTTGGATGGGCTCTGGAAAGAAATAAATAAAGAATCGAAAAAAAGTGAAACAAAAAAGTGTCCAAGATAAGAAAGTGGAATACATAAGAGTGAACCGGAAGTGACCAAAGATAAAGGACATTCATTGTTTCTGTGCATTCGTGTGTGTGCAAAAGGGAGTGTGAAGAGCCGACACACAGCACAATGGGGCTACGTGCGACCCCATTCTGTGCTATGGGCGTGGCCTTTGCTCTGTGCCTGCTTATCGCGCTGTGTAATGCCGAACTAACGCCGCCATATTTCAATCTGGCCACAGGCCGCAAGATTCATGCTACTGCCACATGTGGCGAGGATACAGATGGACCCGAGCTCTACTGTAAGCTGGTCGGTGCGAATACGGAGAATGATCACATCGATTACTCGGTTATTCAAGGACAGGTTAGATGAGATAATAAATTTCTTTAAAAGGACACGATACACCGTTAAGCTCAATACACATTTATCTCAACATATTCATCTCTATAAGAGTCTATATATAATTTTGAGTATATATACATGATTTTGATGTTTTTTTGGTGCAGCATGATGAAGTCCCCTAGTGCCACATGTGTTTCGAATCTATTTTTAAACATATTATTGAAGTTTTATATGATGACATGTGTTTTCTTTTCTAGGTCTGCGACTATTGTGATCCTAATGTGCAGGAGAAGAATCACCCGCCAGAGAATGCAATCGATGGCACTGAGGCCTGGTGGCAGAGTCCACCCTTGTCCCGAGGCATGAAATTCAACGAAGTCAATTTGACCATCGATTTCGAACAGGTAAACAGCAATCAGAACAACAAACTACAGCCATGAAAGAAAGGTGAAGCCCAAAATAAAAGAGTGCTGTCTGGGGGGCGGGGAGGGAACCTCAAAAAACGAGTCAATGCATCGTTTTTGTGTCTGGTGTTCCTATGGGTTCTGGTTCGATCATCTCAAACTACTCTTAACTCAGACAACGACAGGGACAGGGCATTGGCTGGGGCACGTTTGGTCGGACAGGCTCGTAAAATTAGTGAGCAGATTGCTTTTGAAAACAATTTTAATGGGTTTTCATTTCATTTTCGACGTCTGCAACGGAGACGACGACGACGACGACGAGGTTGCTTTTTCAGTTTGAAGCCACAGCGAAAAATCTTGCTGAGCTGTTGAAATGTTTTCGTTGCTGCTTCCCTCTGGAGTTGCGGGTTATCAGCTCGTTATGTACAAGTTTTCTTACATAC